AGAAAACGCCAATCACAATAGGAAACAAAGGCATCTATGATGCGATTGCCAAAGAGCACTGTCCTATCACTTATGATGCTGCCAAACGAAGGGCCTACTTTTTCTAAGGCACTTACTGTTATTTCTTTCAGAGTATCATGGGGGTAGTTTTATATAAATAATTTATATGTAATCTTAGCCCAGAGGTCATTTTTTTTTGTCATATTTTTTGCTAAAAAAAAATTGCCAGTAGCCAGACAGTAAGTGATTTTCCCCTGTAAACAGATTTCAAAGTTATATGATTTGCAGCTAACCAATAATATTTTTGCAACAATATCATATTATCGCATTCTATTGTTACTGTTTATTGTTAATTAATAAGACACCGGGTCCCACGTCGTTAACATTAGTACAGCTCAATGTAAATATTGTATTTGTTAGTTCCAAAAATAACAATTATTTGCATTTCTCTGACATTCTTACGCATAAGCCTATGAGTCCATATACATTTTTCTTGATAAAAACAAGAAAAGAAAAAAAAAAAGCAAGCACCAAAATGACTTATGGTAGTCAGATACACACTGTTAGTAGAATTTCTCTTATTCCAACTCCTTATTTGTATTGTAGGATAACTGTTCATGTTTTTCACTAGTTAAATACTTTCCTTTGTTAAAGCACGTTCGAGATGTAAGCTAATTTCTTTTCTTAATAAACTTGTTTTGTTTGATTTGAGTTTTTTTCTTTTACATGCAATTATGCTGCTAGTATGAAACAGAAGCGACAGGGAATTATGGTCAATGGAAATGAGCGATTGATTGTGAGATAGTTTGTGACTGACTACTCTCTCTCTCTTTCTCTCATTCTCTCTCTCTCTCCTGATTATTGCGGTGAAAATATATGATGAAATGCTGGACCACAATGTTATTTTTATAGATCCAAAACAATGATTAGATATATTTAGGATCTAGTTACGCTTGGAAATTGTCACAACGATGAACAGCGTGAATTTGGGTCAGAAATCATCGGCCATGTTTTTACTAGTTGTAAACTGCTGAAATATTTTTTAACCTAATCGGCAAGAATACATACCATGCCCACTGTAATATAAGTTTATTTATTGTAGTTACACATAGATGGCTCTACAATTGCTTAGTCACTAAGGAGTCAGTTATTAATCCTGCCTATCCCACCTGTTTACTTTGACTTTTGGAAGGGTTCTTTAGTATCATTTCATTGTCTTAGATACAATTTATGTGTGTGTGTGTGCTTCAATCGCTGCTATCTGAAAATCATATTGAATATCAGAATATCATGCTAAAAAAAAAGAAAAGAAAAAAATCGATTTCTGACCAATCATAACGATGAACTGATCCTTAAACCAATCACAGACCTTGTATTTCCCTGACAATTTTCACATTACAAAAAAGTACAATTTTCAGGATTACGATGCTTAGTATAACGCTGTGTTTCAAATAGTCGACATGGAAGTGATTAATTATTATCATTAACACTTACCTAGCCAAATGGTAGATAGACCTTCCTAGTTAAATGGTAGAATGATATACCATACTTATACAGAGTATCCGTCGTACAGTCTTCAATACATTTTGTAAATTAGAATCTATAGCATCATTAAAGATAAATGAAACAAATAGAAATGATTACAGCAGAGTATGAAATGGATAAATATATAAGACTGTATGCATTTCTGCTTCAGCCTAAGTGGCATAGTAGTCCTGAGTTGTACATCTTGTAACTGTGAGGTCATTGGTGTACTACCTCAAGTAACTTATATTCAGTGGACTTAACCCTCGTTATTGTCAATAAATATGTTTGATAGATGACATTTCCATGATGAAAACGCGTGATAGATTAGACCCTTTGTAATTCTGATAAATGAATTGTGTTTACAACTGTTCTCATAAACCAGTAAAAAAAAAAAAAAAAAAAAAAAAAAAAAAAAAAAAAAAAAAATATATATATATATATATATATATATATATATATATATATATATATATATATATATATATATAAGAAACGGTATCTACGCTAGCACTAAAAAGAAAACCAAATCAACCCAAACATTGATTTTTGTATTAAACAAACCAACAAAAACTGACAGCAGCTCTAATTACTAGGGAGAATATGATGGATCCAAGGACATTTCAGGAGTAAAAAGAACTGAGGCATATCACTCAATAATTCAACCATCGCATTTCAACAAGGAATACCCTTTAATAATAGTTTGGGGCATGCTCGTGCACCTTCCACATTTTTTCGTATTAAGACCCTTCTCCGTCAACTGCTTTTATTTTTCTTTTCTTATCCGCACGTATATCTTTCCTTAACTGCATTTATCTCACGAAGAAACTTCTACTGGCTACACACAGTGACTTTACAAATGTATTAAGCCCGATCCGTTATTTTTGGTGATAGAAAAAGATACATGAAAACCGGTTGTTTCACGCTCTGCTCACTGACTTGTCGTGTTGGAATATACCCGCGGTCCATCACCTGA